GTGCTCGCTTCAGGAGCACAAGTACTAAAATTGGAACCATACAGAGAAGACTAGCATGGCCCCTGCATGAGGATGACACACAAATTTGTGAAGTGTTCCATATTCTTGGAAAGATTGATCCCCAGTCTGGTAAGAAGCTAGAAGATGGGCCCAAGTTTTTGAAATCTGATGATGCTGCCATTGTTGACATGGTTCCAGGCAAGACACACATGGTTCCATGTATGTCGAGAGCTTCTCTGACTATCCACCTCTGGGTCATTTTGCTATTCTCAATATGAGACAGACAGTTGCTGTGGGTGTCATCAAAGCTGTGGACAACAAGGCTGCTGGAGCTGGTAAGGTCACCAAGTCTGCTGAGAAAGCTCAGAGGGTTAAATGAATATTATCCCTAACACCTGTCACCCCAGTCTTAATCAGTGGTGGGAGACCGGCCTCAGATCTGTTTTTTTCCAATTGGCCATTTAAGTTTAATAGCAAAAGATTGGTTAATGATAACAATGTATCATAAAACCTTCAGAAGAAAAGGAGAATGTTTTGTGGACCATTTTTTTTGTGTGTGGCAGTTTTTCAGTTATTAATTTTTAAGATCAATACTGTTTAATGGAAACAACTTGACCAAATATCTGTCACAGAATTTTGAGACCTATTAAAACAAAGTTTAATGAGAAAAAAAGAAAACAACAGGAGCAACAACAAAGAACTCATTCCTGGAAGCTAGTAGTGGCCTGATTTTGAAACCAGAAAAGGATAATTAAGAAAGAAAATTACAAGCCAATCTCTTTAATAAACATGGATGCAAAAAATTCTCAATAAGGTACTGGCAAACAGACTATGATAAATCATCAAAAGGATCATACATTTTGGCCACACAGGCTTCACCTGAGCAACTCAGGGATAGTCCAACATGTGCAAATAAATAAATGCAATACATCATATAAACAGAAGCAAGGACAGATATCAACATATGATCATCTCTGTAGATGCAGAAAATTCCTTGAAAAAGTCCAACATTAGTTCACAATTGAAACCTTGAAGAAAAAGGTATAGAAGAACATGATCTCAATATGATAAAAGCCTTTTATTACAAATCTACGGCCAACAACATATTAAATGATGGAAAAGTTGAACTATCTCTCCAAAATCAGAAACAAGGCAATGATGTCCACTATTATCAGTCTTATTCAACATAGTCAAAACATTATCCATAGAAAGAAGGCAAGAGAAGCTAATAAAAAGATACACATAGAAAAGGAAGAAGTCAAACTATCATTCCATTCAGGCGACATGCTCCTTTACATAGATGATCAAAAAAATTCCAACAAAAGACTCTAAGAATTAGGAATGAAATTTAGCAATGCAGTAGGATTACAAAATCAACACACAGTAGCACTCCTGTACAATAATAATGATCTCACTAAGAAAGGAATTAGGAAAACAATACCATTCACAGTAGTTTCAATAAATTGACGTGCTTAAGAATTAACCTAATCAAGCAAGTGAAACACCTCTGCACAGAAAACTACAGTACTCAGAAAGAGGACATCAGAAAATGAAAAGGCATCACTTCGCCATGGGCAGACAAAACCAATATTGCCAAAATTGACCATACTCAATAGAAAATCTGTGATTCATCTAAATAAGTACAAAACTATAAAGAAAAAGAAGATCGTTCTCACAGAAGCCACTAGAATGATTGCCTCTGAGTTATGGGGCAGTGCACAGTTAGTGAGTTCTCACTTCTTATTGGCCCTTCTTTGGATCTGAGTACCAATGTAGCTAACATTGCTTTATTTTTAAGCATGATTTACACAGTGGTGTGGCTCATACGACCAGTTACATGCTGGGGACCTGGGGCTGCTGGGAGCTTTCTTTTTCTTTATTTCATGGTACTGGGGATTGAAAGCAGGTCTTTACCCTCTCCCACCCCCTCGGGCTGCGCCACACCACTCCGCCATACCTCCCCCACCCCTCCCGCCCAGTAGGAATTTCTGCCGACTTCCGGGAACCCCCAGACCCAGTCCTAGCCCAGGTCCGCTGAGTGTGTGGAGAGCTTCCCGCTACCCTGCACCAGTGGGACCAGTCCCTGCCCAGGCGCAGCGTGGGACGGACCCTCTCCCACCCCCTCGGGCTGCCCCCCACCACTCCGCCGTAACTCCCCCACCCCTCCTGCAGAGTAGGAATTTCTGCCAACTTCCAGGAACCCACAGACCCAGTCCTAGCCGAGGTCCGCAGCGGGAAGGAGCTGAGCACAGCAGCCAGACCTAAGCCAGACGCAGCTGGATAAGTCCAAACTCTGTAGAGCTCCACCT